TGTTTTCATACCTCTTGTTGTTCTTTTATTTGTTTCTTCTGGTCCTCAGATAGTTCTGTCACTCCTACCAGACCAAGAGGCTTCCCCTTCTTATAACCAAGACCTCTCAGCTCCTGGGCTGAAACAGACATCACCACAAACTTATATATTCATAAATCAATTATTGGAACAGCTGATAGTGTGGCCAAAATGGCAAATTAAAATGTGATTTCAAAAACTATTTTCACATAAAAAGCGACACTTTGTGTCCTTGCATCAATATGTATGATGATAGCTGCACTAATTTCTTGGCAATGATCAAAGTATCTTCTATGGTTCTTCTAAAAATTGACATTTGTAATAGCTTGTATTGGCACTGCGTACTAAAGGGGTTGCACCAAGTTTAGTTTTTAGTTTAATTACTTTCATGCCACACAAGTAAAAACAAACAGAATGCGTATGTGCACATGTTTACAGAATGTAAAACAAAAGTTCATGTACCAGAGAGAGCAGGTGTGTTAAGGTCTGGAACATTAATCTCTGGGGGAACAATGATGGGAGGAATGGGTAAGTCGACTTTGTCATCCTCAGACCCCCATCGACTCTTCCTCTTCCGTTTAACAGGAGGAGTTTCTGTCTCCTGAATGTGCTGTAGAGACGCAGGGTTCAGTGGTGGAGGGATTCCAGGCAATGGCGGTGCAGCTTGTCGCTGAAAGTCTATCCCCGACTCTGCTGCCGGAGGCGAAGAGCACTGGGAGGCTGCGGCACGATACTCATGTAATTTCTCTTTGTAGAAGTGATAGGCTGGATTTTGGTGGTCATATAAAAAACTGAAGCACAGACAGTAGATATTTTGTGTGAGACAAATGAGACATTAAAAAGTGTCAAGATTAGAAAACACAGTCACATATACAGTGGCTGACCTGAGGGCAGGGTTGTCTCGGTTGCGCTCAGCAGCGATAGCTTCCAGCTCGGGACCACCCTCCGCCACAAACCTGGCCAGCTTCTCAGCCATCTGCTGGGTCTCCACGTCCACTGGGGGGGAGACTTTAAGCAGCCTATCAGTACTGGGACTCAATTCACACTATACTACTGTACCGTACTCAACTGGCCCTCACACACCACCAGTCTAGAGCTAATAGGGGATAAGAAGAGGAAGGAGGGAGGAGGAGCAAGGGGGGAAAAGGGTGGTGAATGGGGAACTATATAGATGTGAGGCTTTTACAAATAAAGACCATATAAAGCCCAGACATGCTCCAATACATATAGTATTCCTGCACTCTGAAACTTGGATCTGCATGTATACTTCTGAGCGTAAACGAAAGAAAAAAGGCTAAAATCTTTAGTCCATCTCTAAAATTGTAATATGATTTAATTAGGAGCAATATGGACAAAATTGTGTTCAATTGTGTTGTATTGACTGAAGTGTAGTGCACTATTTAAAGTCCAATCAAAAAACGGATTATTAACTCTTAAGCCATGACCTTTATATACGTAGTCTGAAATAAGAATCCTTAACTAGAAATTATTTTTGTGTGGTCTTGAAGCCAGTGTCTTTTAAATGCAACTAAATACCGAATCAAAGAAGACCCTAAAGTCACATGGGTATGTTATTACATTTTAATGAATAAGACAGTAAGCGATTCTTCTGCCCATAAAATTAAGTTAGTTAACAAGCAAGGTTAAATTGGTCCTTTGTGCTTAATGTTGTAGTTTGGGGAAACAGTAATAACGGCACATTTACTCTAGTTAGTGGGACTACACCGTGCTATTAAGAAACAGGGTTTCACACGTTGTGTTAGCTGCTAATTATGTTTGCAAAAGGGGTGGACAGTGTGTCAATATAGCCTCGTCAATTTCAATTAAATTTTAGTATGTCTGACAGGAAAGGCGAGATAAATAAAACAGAGACAAAAGACAGAGTTTGAGATTAGGTAATCTTACCATTATCTGATGTATTCTCAGGTCTTAGCAAATCCTTTCTCAAATGTGCAACTCTTTTTTTGTAGTAGAGATACTCCAGGCTGCTCTTATCATATAAAAATCTGAAAGGCAAACAGTTTAAATCAGATGAGTTTAAAAATACAGTACAAGTAAATATATACAAGTACTAGAGCAACACTCTCCTTGAAACTTACGAGAAAACCGGATTGTCCTTGTAGTCCTCCTTGGCCTTTCTCTCCAGCTCAGGTCCTCCCTCCGCCACAAAAGAGGCCATCTTGTCGATAATGAGTCTGGTGTCTGAATCCTCTGGGGGAGAGACTTTAAGCAGGCTATGAGTACATTTACTCTAAGGGCACCTATGACAAAATGCCAGTCACAAGGCAACTGTGCCACTGGAGTAGGCAGAAGATGCACTGAAATGTCCAAGCCATGGAGTTGTCCAGAGATACACTGAAAAACACAGGCCTTGAATTACCTTTCATCTCTAAGAATTTGGAGTAATCAGCCTCTTCTTCCTCATCTTCATCTTCTGGAGAACAAAACACACTCGGCCTCTGGCTGAGAACGGGATTCTTCTTGGACTGTGAGTAGTTCTTGAACTGACTGAGCATGCTACTGACTCCAAGGCCAGGCCGCTTGCCAACAAGAATACTCTTTTTTTGAAGTGCGTTTCCTCCTGATGAAGTTGAGGTTGAGGGAGTTTTGGTTTCACTCGTGGAACCTAGAAAGAGTATGAAACACAAACATTTAAACGATCTAGAAACAGCCTTCAGGTAAATACTATTATACATTCTGCAAAAGATGGTAAGGGCTCTTGCTCAACCAGAACATTTGGCAGGTAAACAACACAAGCAAATAAAGTTAGGCAATATTCATGATCCCTATTCTAAACTAGATTCCTTGGGTCAGGATGTCCTCTTTAAAAAACCTCTACCTCCCACAAACTGTCCTGCTGTCAAGGACTTTTTGTTGACAGCCTGAAGCCTCTTTATCTGTGTTTTACATAAGCCAAAACTGCAAGGTCACAGCTATTATTCTGTATTCAAGTGTTTCTGTTGGTGTGTTAAATTTCAATATACAAAATTACAATGCTATATATTACATGCTATAAAGCCATGACAAAACCTTTTAGTAAAAACTGTGCAGATCAAGGTACTAACCAGACACATTGTTGGACTTGTCTTTCTGCATCCTCATGAACTGCTGTAAGAAGCTTCCATCATTTGCAAACTTATTTGAAGAAGCTCCTTGAAGACTTGGAGAACTTCTGGGATCAAACAAAATATTTGTTATTATTTTAGGTCAAAGTTGGGGTCAAAGAAAACATTCATAAATAACAAAGCTGACAGCACCAGGCTTTACTGTACTTTAAAAAATAAAATGATTTCTATCTTTTTGCTGAGATTTATTAGCAGATCCTTAAGTATATAGTTACATTGGAGGCAGGGGTTTGCTTGGGGTTTGCACATTCATTTTGGCTTGCTCTGCCATTCTGGCCTCAATCTCTTTCTTCTTCTGAGCTATCAGCTTCTCTTGACGGAGAATATTCATGTTCATCTTGTTCTTCTGTGGCTGGACAGGCTTAGACCTCCATCCTCCTCGCCCTAAAACAGATTAAAGGGGAAAAAAGGCAATTTATGACAACAATGAGCATGTTAGGTAGCAGTGGAGCGTGCAGTTGTCTGGTATTCATCCTATGACATTTGTGTCCCAATGATTGGAAGTTTCTGGGGTTTAACTTAAGAAAGGCAGATAAATATGTTATCTTTATATATAATATTCCAACCATGCATTGCAAACTAACGTCAGCAAACAACAAAGCTTAGCTAAATCGAACAGCAGAAACAACTTCTAACAGCTGTTAAGACTTTTAACTGGGTATATATACTATGTGTATATTACAGGTTGCAGACTGTAGGAAGGTTGGGTTTTCGTTCTCTTAAGTATATATAATGCGTTTATGCACATTGTCGTGTTTGATAACTACCTTGTTTAGCTTACCTCACAGCTAACAGCTAGCTAACGTTGTGCACTGGTTATATGCCAGCAGACTAGCTTTCTACGACTACATCAGCTAGCTAAGTAAGGCTAACGGCTATCCTTGCTAACGTAAGTGTTTGCTAAGGGCATATTATACATATTTAGAGTTAGCATCTCGTTCAAATTCACAATAAAGATTTACCCGCATCGCTAGACTCCATGGTCGTAACAGGATTAAATATATATTTCGAAAACAACGCTAACGGACTGCAATAAGGCCTTTTACTGCTACCGTAGTAGCTGACTTTGAAGCAGCTGAGTTAGCTACCGAAAACAAGAACAAGACTTCCGGTGGTAGTTTTTTCAAAATAAAAGCACAGCCTCTACAGGACCCCGGACACGGACAAAAACACTGCATTTTACACAAAAGCCAAACAATTATCACCTCGTCCCTAAACAATTCTGCTTTTAAAAAAAATCATAAAATAATGTAACTCTCTCAAATGCACATTGTAAAATCAGTCCCGGAAATTGTTCTTGAGACAGACTCAATACTTTGACTCCATAGCATTATCAGAGTATTTTCCATTATGACAGGCCCAACATTTTGAGGACACATCCATACTGACACCATTAGTGTAGTGATGTTGTTTTGAATTGCATTATGTAGAGATGTTTCTAATACGTTGTCCCCATCATGTATGTAACCACACACAGCACATCACACAAAACTAGCATTTGAAGCACAAAGAAACTGTCCTATGTGTTCACTGTATTCTCAAAATGTCTCAGGAATGGCTGAAAATGTTATTGTATATTAAATGTATACATATATGCTCTAGTGTTTTCTAAAGACCTGACATCCTATGGAAGAGCACTGACAGAAAGACTGTCCAATTGTATTCTGAATTACTTCTGCTCAGCCTCTACAATTCAAACTATCATTAAAATGTGTTTTATGTCAGTAAGCTATTTTAAATGTCACACAATTTGTGATAATTGAATAGAATTAAAACATATTTTCATGTTGGATTTCCTCGCTCTTATTTGAAGGGAAAATATGAAACCGGAAGTCTTCGTCTTGGTATTTTTGTTCTAGCTACCATGGTAACGTTACGTTTCCGTTTCCACTGGTCTTTCCCATCGCAAAAAGTCAGGATTTGTTGTCCCTTGTTGCTACCCGTCCGTACCGTACGAACTGGTCTCCTGCTTAGAAATGGCTGAAGCTCCCCCACGGCCCTGCCGGTTTTTTTGTCACCGGTGTTCAGCAGAGATTAGTCCGCGTTTACCGGTAAGGACCTAAGAGACATATGTGCCTACTTGAAGAGTGACACGTTTTATGTGTGTGTGTGTGTGTGTGTGTGTGTGTGTGTGTGTGTGTGTGTGTGTGTGTGTGTGTGTGTGTGTGGCGCACACCCAGTCACGTCGATTCACTGCTGCTTTGTAGCTACGCTAGTTAGCTAGCCCCATAGCCCAATAGGCAAACAGCGGTCCAGAGTGACAGTCAGGTGGTGGTAATTAAGTTGGTGGGTCCAGTCGTGTTACGATATTGTGTGTTAGACATTTAATGTCAGCTACACGGCGGTATAATGACCCACAGCTTCATATAACCCATTATAACAGCCGTACAGGTGTCATAGTGGTGGCGTTTAATGTCAGCTAGTTAAAGAAATCAGATTTTGATTCTGTGAGGGGGAGATTAACAGCTTCTGGTTTTGAGTCATTGTATATTAAAACAACTCTACATTGAGTTGTTTTCCCACCCACAGGCCTGGTGTTAGACTATTTTGGTTATACCTCAAAGAGAAGTAAAACTTTCACAATATCACTTCCATCTAAAGCCAGTCAGTTAACATTGCTGTTTGTGGAAACAGCCCACTCGCCTGCCACAGCAGTCTGTTGTCAAGGCCATTCATGGGAAGCTTCTTGAATGTTACAGTCACAGTTACTTTATTGACAGTCAGCCTATGTTACCTGTGTGACAACATACAGTCAGGAGAGGATATGTACTGATTGGAAATGCTCACAATGTGTTGTTTATATATGGAAGCTGCAGTTTGTGGTGCTGTTGAATTGTGTTTTGTTAACTGAGAGGCATTTCTTCTTTGTCCTCCTCATTTTTACCAGTGATGGTAGGTTAAAGATTAAAAACACCTCTCAGTGTAACACAGCACAATTCAACAGCAGCACACAGCCTCCAAAACGACCATAAAGTAGAATCAACACCTCTCTCACAGCCCTCATGAGGGTAGGATTTTTTGTAGGGCTGTTGAATCAGAGTGCTTTTGTTTTTAGCTCAGTGTACCTAATAAACAGTCAACTGTGAACATATTAGTTATTGTGTATATGTAAACTACATATTTACATTTATATTTACATTGTAGGACTACACCTGTCCACGCTGTGAATCTGGCTTTATTGAGGAACTTCCTGAGGAAAGAAGGTATGGAGGATTTTTGTGTGTCTCATGAATTTGGTCACTTTGATGTTAAAAAGGATTTCTGAGTCTCAGCTTTACCTCCGTGTCTGTGCAGTACGGAAAATGGGTCCGCATCCACGTCCTCCACCAGTGATCAGAACCGCCCATCCTTTGAGGTCAGTCTGATTTGTTAAATCATCTGGTCCAGGAAAACATTTTTCACTCTGCAACATGATTTGACACTGCCTTTGTCCTTTCTACTAGAACATGGATCACCAGCATTTATTCACATTTCCCTCTGGGTACGGTCCGTTTGCTCTTGGGATTTTTGATGAAAACTTTGACCTTCGAACGCGGCTACCCACAGAGGACAACCGGGAGACAGAAAACAGGAGGGAACGGGAAATGGCATCACGGCAACGATACAGTGCACGGCAACCACGAGGGCGACATGTTCCTCGAAGACAGGGTACGCGCCATGAAGGGGTGCCCACATTAGAGGGGTGAGACATTTTTAAGCAGTTGAGTGTATGTGGGAGTTTGTTGTGGCACAAGAGGATACAGGTAAGGAATTAGCTTATTTGGTGTGAGTAATACTTGCTTCACATGTTATGGTAGAAAATACTTAATGTAATTTCCAGTTTTATATAGAATATGGTGACATGATACATCTAAACCAGAGGTCTCAGACCTTTTTGAGAGTGAGGGATACGGGGAGAAGGGAGAAGATTCGTGGGAGGGCTACTCTGTATACTTAATGAACATCCATTTTAAATTGATGCTTTCCATAATATAACATAGTGGTGTGTATTTTCACCTTTTAGGCATTTTTGTATACAGGGTGGAACCAACTTGAAGACACAAACACACATGTAACAGATACAGTATAAAAAATGATCTGTAAAGCCTCTTACACCTTTCAAAAAGTATAAAGACAAAATATCCTGTATTACCATTTTAATTGTGCTATTCCTATGAATACCAAACAGCATTCAGATAGCACGCAGATATCTAGTATTACTGTGTGTATTAAGTATTAATACAATTGTTTGACCATGAAATTGTTAATATATACAGATGAGGAAAGAAGACAAGTTGAATTTCTCAGTTTGATTCAACAAATGCTTAATGAAAGTGTTTTTTTTTTTTTATGATGTTTTTTCCGGATACAGAATTATACAGCAGCTAGTAAATGGAATCATAGCACCTACAGCCATGCCAAATATTGGGATGGGACCATGGTAAGTGTAAGAAACTGTATGTTTACTTGTTTCATATCACTAACTACAATCAAGTTTACTGTGTTAACTCTCTAACCTCCTTGTCTTGAAGGGGAATGCTACATTCCAATCCAATGGACTACGCCTGGGGTGCCAATGGTCTTGATGCAATAATTACACAGGTATAAAAAGTGTTCTTTTGTTACATGACAGTGGAAATAAAACTGCATATCAATTAGGTGGCTACATTGTGCCACAAACCTTTTACATATTATATATATTTATAATTGATAATATATTTTAATAGTGTTATGACTTTTTTTCTAGCAATATAACAATACTTTAAAGCAATAGCTCTTTTTTGACAGAGTGCACCTCAGTAAATCACACTTAGTGAAGGATTCGGCCTTTAAATCAGACATATAGTTTAGCTAGATATTGGAAGATGATGTATAGAAGTTGTACTTTTACAGAACGACCTTGTTCCCATGCAGATTATCTCTCAGCCATTTATTGAGATTCTTCTTTTTCACATGTAGTTATTGAACCAGTTTGAAAACACGGGTCCCCCTCCTGCAGACAGAGAGAGGATAAAGAGTTTACCCACAATCTCCATTACAGAGGAACATGTGGGTAAGTTTGTGTCTCTCTCTCGGACTCTCACTTACAGTTACTCAGTCACGTACACTTGACTATAACAATATTTTGTTTTGTGATATTGTATCAATTCTCAAAAACACTCATCAGTTTTTATGTTTAAACGCCCAACTACTACATAGCAGTGTTGTAAACTGAGGGCTTTGGATGTTACAGGGACCTTAATATATACATATATGCAGACCCCAATGTAACAAAGTAAACTTTTCTTAAACTCACTTGTATGCATATAGTGTGTATATGCATGGTGTGTTCTTTATACTATGACAGTTTTCACCTCATACAATAAAAATCCTTTGCATAAGTCAATTGAGGGACAGTATTTTCTCTATCACAAGTAGACAACTAACAATAATCACCCTCTGAAAATGTCTTTTACATGCATATGTACTTTCTGTTTGAACTTTTAATCATGTTGGTGGTGGTGGTGGTGGTGAAGTGAAGAGCTTGAATTGAACCTTACATTTCACAACACCGCCTCAACTCAAATAAACAGAATCTATGTGACCACAATTTTCCATGCAGCTGATGCATGTGGCCGCGGTTCTCTCGCACACAGACAGTATGTCGCTTTCTGTTTGTGCAGGTGCTGGTTTAGAGTGTCCAGTGTGCAAAGAAGACTACAGTGTTGAAGAGAGTGTTAGACAACTGCCATGCAATCATTTGTTTCATAATGACTGTATAGTACCGTGGCTGGAACAGGTATGTATGTCTATCAAGTATGTCCCATACAGAGCCGCAAGATTCATATCAGACATTGATTGCAGTATTTGATTGGTATCAACTACACTAAGCTATATAGCTAAATCCAGATTTGTCTCTGATAATTTATTCATTTTAACCCATTGTGCTTTGTGCTTTTCAACTTAAATCAATACAAACCAAGTAAAATGTACCTCTAATAACAGATAAGGTATAGAATAAACTAAACTAATTAAATTCAGCATACATCAACATAAACAAGATAAAATAGAGGTTGCAACCAAACTGTTCAGGAGACAGTATTTTGTATTTACTCCCACCCTCTTTCCCTGAACAAATACCACTCTGGTGCTCATCTTAAGTGCTGCTGTAGGTTGATAATACATTTAAACTTCAGCAATCCAAACTTTATAAATATGTAATATGTACTACACCATTAATACCTCTTTAGCTGGACAGAATCTTTTGTTCATGTTAGCTGTTTTCCTGTTTGGCGAGGGCATTGTTTTCTGTTGTTTTGTCTTAATGAAGTTTTTTACATTTATCAAAAAAATAAGTTTGAGGTGTATTATTTCTGTAAATGACCTCCAACACCTTGTACAGCTGCGACCCCATCCACCCTTGTAGTTGTTGTTTATAATGAATGTAGCTAGCAACCTACCTATGTAAGATAATGACATCCACATTCTTAATCCCACTACCAAGCTCCAATTGGTCAGTTCTTTCTCTGACAATGGGAAACAGCCATTCAATGAGCACACCAGAACTAAATGAATTGCTGAACAATTCAGAGTGGTTAGTCGTTCAGTCACAAACGGGTTTGTCTTTAGTGAGTGTGCAGTTGGATCAGGCTGAGGTATTAATCGATTCAGATAAAAAAGGTTGAATCAGGTCCTCCCTGATATCCATGTCACACATGTAACAGAACTGGATGCTCATGTGAATTTGTTAATGTATTGAAAACACTTCTCATTTATCCTTGTTTCCCACAGCATGATACATGTCCTGTGTGCAGGAAGAGTCTTAGCGGACAGAACACAGCCACAGACCCACCAGGGTTATCAGGAATGAACTTCTCTCCCTCCTCCTCCTCCTCTTCCTCACCCAGCTCACCTAGCAATGAGAATGCTGCCAGCAATTCATAGATTTTCATCGTCACAGCCACCTCCCATCTGAAAACCTCACAACATACAAGACCCTACAGCTCCTCTCCACAGCTGAGACCAGGACAGTTGTCTGTCTCAATTCAAGGGGACGATATGAGTGGAGGGGAACTCTGAATCTGTTGCAGACTGTTAGTCATCATTCTTCCCCCTGTGCTGAACGGACGCTGGGTCCAGCTCCTGCTGCTATCGTTGCAGAGTGTTTAAGCTGGTGGGACTGGGCAGTGTTGACGGAGGATGCAGAAAGGCTGTGAGTAGTAGTTAGATTGGGATTGTAACCAGAACGGGAGCAGAGTTTGAGCCAGAGTGGACTGCTTTTTGATGGAGAGATGTCTTTGCCATGAAGCTGGGACACATTTTATATTTAAAAGAAGAAAAAAAAGGCTCTTTTAAAAAAAAAAAAAAAAAAATTCCTGTGGTGATGCAGAGTACATAGATGTGTAGATAGAGAATTCATTTTGAACTGTCAGCCACTGTACAGCTCATGGATCAAACTAAAACCTTGAGGAAAGGAAACTGAGTGTATGCATCTGATTTTTATTTATTTTCACCTTCTTTTTCATTTTGCACAAAAATCTGTCTGATGTTGAGAATGTGAGTTTGGGTAAACTACTGAACAAAAAAGATTTTTCACATTTTTGCATTGAATAAGTCTTTTAGGACTTGTTTTTTTTTTTTCTTTTCTTTTTATTAGAGTCTCTTTTTATTAGAGCTTGATCCAGTGTACTTGGTGTATCTGACAAGGTAAAGATCCACACAGCTCAACAGTGGACACATTTTTATTCCTCAAGTGAAAAAAAATTATTTATTGAACCCTTGACCAAGACACAAATTGAGCAATGTAAAAGGAAAAAAGACACATAAAAAAGGCATGGGATTATCTTACCTCTATGGAACTGACCAAATGTGTTTCACAAGACAAGTGTTATTATTTTATTTACTGATTTTTCGTACAGTCACAATAAAGTGCTAAAACAAACACATTTGTTTTCTGCTGATAATGTCTGGTACTGTTTACTATTACACATTCAATAATAGTTCAATATTGATCAAACCAGTTGTTTTTAATTAGGAGAAAGACAACTCGCCTGCTTTTCATAAATGCATGTTAATCATTTATTATTATATTACAATTATAAATTGTTCTTGTGATATTTCAGAGTGTTTAATGAAAAGTAGCCTTGTATGCAGCAAAGTGATTTGATAATTGATCACAACTCAGCCTCTTGTTTGCAGCAGGGGCACTTGTTTTCTGCCACGTTCTGATTTCATGATTTATTGTCTTAGAACATTAAATCAAAGTAGATTTAATTAGGTTTTTTTTTTTTACATGGATAAACAGAAATAAGACCATTTAATGCCAAAATGAAAGCAAATGTCTATAAAGTGATCTAAATTAAAACAAATATATCACTATATACAATCTATTTGAGTACTAAACAAAAAAAACGTGAAAACTTTCCAAGGGGGTCGAATTCTTCTTACAGGCACTATAAGTCCATCCTATGGTGCTGACAAAACCTGAAACGAATGTTGAGTACCTTCAAGTACCAGCATGCCAATATTGCGTTAAGGTGAAATTTGTAGCAATAATCAACAAGCAGGTGGTGGCTGACTCACCACACCGGTGACCTGTGAGGATTTTCATATTTAAATAAATAAGAATAACAAATTTAATTTATATCCCTGATGGTCCCTAAACTGCCAATGCTGCAAATGTAAAAAGCTATTAGGTTTGTTATTTAATGACTCATTTACATGACCTTTAGGGAGGAGAGATTCCGGTTGAGAAATTCTGGCTTAATTTGTGGTAAAACTTTGGGAAAGAGATACAGGTTAGGTTGATTCCTACTTTTCCTCTCATTTGTTTTCACTAGTCCAGGAGATTTGCATGTCTTTTGCTCCACACCAATAAGGTCATCACTTAATCTTCCCTATATGGGTTAGCGCTCTTCATTTTGATGAATGGATAAACCCTTTTAGCTCCTGTGTAGCACTCTAACATGTCTCTGGGCCTTTCATATCACCACCACTTACTTACTTGTTTCTTTTAATTATGTTGCCACATCAGTGGTCACTTGTCATTTGCTGAAAACTATCTGTGAACACCACATCGCTGTATCACCCTGCCAGGAAATTAAACTGAACATTAGTGCAGCTGTATAGTTTTGACTAATGAAGTGGAGGGAAGATGACAGAAAGAGGGAGACAGAGAGAGAGAAGAAGGGAGGGAGAGAGAAAGGGATGACGCTGTTGACTTCCCAGCACTGATGTCAAAAGGTAAGAAATTTGCAAGAAGATTTAATTGGCTATTAGGTTGAAGTTTTATTTGATTCTGCAGGAATATAAGTATGTAGCAGTGATGAATTCAGCCCTGTGTGAGTATTTGTGTGTAAAACCAAGCTATCCTTTACAAATGACCAAAATTAGACCAAAGAAAAGAGGCTAGCTACTTTATCTCTTCTCAAGTGACAAAGCACCTGATTATCATGGCCCACGTCCTCAGAGAGTTGGGGTAATGCTCTATGGCTTAGGCCATTGGCAAATTCGGATTTCAGGATGTCTTTATATACTATTCTTTCCAACAGAGATGCTGATGGAAATGCATTTACTGCACTATACATCTGGAACCAGGTGTTTTATGATCATACCATGCAGTTTAAACCAGAGCACTAAATAGTCCATTAGTGATGCTGAACCTGCACCGAGTGCAACAGCATCCTTGTGTCAGTGTGGCACTAATATACAATACACTGTTACTGTTAGTAACTGCACAGATTATGCAGTAGCTGACTCTGCCTCTGAATGTGAAAGTGTTTTTAATTGTTGAGGACGTGGATAGCTAAGTGATTCCTCTTTAGTGCTTCTAGGGTTTCTCATATTCACACTTTTAGAAAATAAGACCCTGGAATGTACAGTAGCAAAACCTTTTGGTGCTTGTATTATGTACTTTCAGTGCACAAAAACCCTACTGTACCGTCTGTACCCATGAACATTTGTACTCTTGTCATCTGTGCCTTTTAACTCCAGACTCAGAGGGACAGAAATCAAAATGTGCTTTGAAACAAAAATGTACCTTGTGGGGAGTGGAAGGGGGACACGAACCCGGAGAGCTCCCAAAGGATCAGACACCTTTGTGTGACGTGCGATAATATTGTACCTTTCTGTATGGATATAGTCTGTAGACCTGTTCCTGTTCCTGACCATGTGCCTTTGGTAAAGTTTGACTCTTGTGTCAGAATTACATTAATATTAAACATTTGTCATTTGCCACCGTCTGTGCCACCCCTGTACGGCCGCTAGGGCGCGCTAAGCACCAAGTGTGGGTGACATAAATTCAGGAAGGTTGTCATTGAAAACACCTTCTTAAACATATGACATCATTTGAGTGTTCATTAACACGTGGTAATTAAACTTTGGATGTCGGTATAAACCGTGATTGACAACATGTTAAGCATCTATTTCCGTGTGATTATCTGGATTGAGCTACTCGAGGCCATTCAGGCTTCAGGTCATGACTGAGAGGCCTCAGCTAGAAGCAGCCTGAGCTGAATCATGAGCAGCTGAGGCTAATAGTTTAATGATATTTGACGCAGTCAAAGGGCTCAATTAGTTTGATGCTTGAGCATCTTTGACACAATGACTAGTGAAAGTAGAAGCGCAGTAGTTTGCAAAGAAGTCACGTTCACCCCTCCCTCTGTCCCTCTCTCCTTTCTCCCCCCCTCTCTTCTTCTTCTCTCCATCTCCCCTCTGTCTCTGATTGGTGTTCTCCAAAGATAATTGGAGGCAAAATTTGATATGCTCAATGTCATGGACAGGAATGAGGTTTCACCGGCGTCTGCTGCCACCATGAAAAAGAAGGCGGTGGGCGGCAGCGGATGCAGCCACATAAACGCACCCAAGGCTGCCACGTCCAAATGCACAAGAAGCAACAGCAACCAGAACTGCCTGGACTCCGGTTCTCCCGGCGCAGCGAGCGGTAAGCATCCCGGTGCGGCCAGCAACGTCGTGATGGACGAGACGGAGGACGGAGAAGAGGAGTCCAAGTTTCAGCATCCGCGGTTGCGCCGAGCCGGGGGAGCGGCAGTGGTGGAGGTGGAGGAGGAGGAGGCGGCGGCAGTATCAGGATGAAGAACTTTACGCCAGGAGGGGGAGCCGCGTCCTCGGGTTCCAGGAGAAACTCTAACAAGGAGCCCTACCACACGCACACAGAGGACGCTCCCGCCGCTCCACGGCCCAGTGCTGCCTCCAGAGCTACCGAGACCCAGACAACCTGCCCGGGCGATGCTGCCCAGCGCGGCGAGAGCAGCAGAGCATCTGGGGCGGAGGCGTCGGACTCAGCGGTCGCGGTAGAGGTTTTAAACGCGACAGCGGGTGATGGTCGCAACAGCGTCGCTCCAATTTCCAGCATGAAATGCAACAAAAACGGAGAATGCAGGAGGGACTCGGGTACCGGGAGCCTGCGCTCAATCATCTCCAAGCAGGAGAAGCAGACCGGAGGGTCGGGGAGGGCCGAGGACGGAGGGAGCACCAAGCGAGGAGCCTGTAACTCGACCACCGCCAGCATGGACGGCTCGATCACACCAGGCGGGTCCCTGACCGGGGGGCACGGAGGAGAGAGCGCAAACCCCGGTGCTACCCCCGTGTCCAGCGGTGTCCCCGAGAAAAAGGACTCCAAGGTGTCCTTCTCTAACGCACCAAGCCGGAAAGCCTCGTCCTCGCTGCACGGCCCGACTCAGACTCAGACCCAGCAGCCAAGGAACTCTGTCACTTTCCAGAAGCCGGAGGATGGACCGCCAATTGTGCCCGCCGAGGATGCGGAGCCTCGGGGCAGCCAAGCCAGCTTCATGCAGCGGCAGTTTAGTAGTATGCTGCAGCCTGGAGTTAACAAATTCTCCTTACGCATGTATGGTAGTCAAAAAGCAGTGGAGAGAGAGCAGGAGAGGGTCAAATCAGCTGGAAATTGGATTATACACCCTTACAGCGATTTCAGGTAAGAGCTGGGGCTGCCATTGGTTGCACGTTGAAAGTCATGAGGGGCCCGTGTGGGTCCTCATTGTCATCTACAACTCACTATATAGTGAGTAACCACTGTGACTCCATGGGAACACATGCATGGTTTTATTGTTCAAGGCTACAGGCTGCTGATCTTCCATTTCATCCCTTATGATTGAATCTGTGGAGATTTGAATCGATGCACTGCAACGTGCTGCCACTAATCCCCCCCCCAAACAACCTGTTGTCAGGCAAACGGACTTTAGCAAAGAGTGTCCTTTCAAGGTTGTAAACAAATCCTATTCCAGGCTGTATGTACAGTAGCATGTCTGGGATGCTCAACAAGCCCGGCCTGCTAACACATCTCGACTTTCCCGTTGCGGTGCGCTCACATTTAACGAAGAGGACAGCGCTCCGCCGCTAATTCGGGCTCTTTTAAAAATGCCATTATTTACACAGATCTGGTTAATATTGTAGTATAAGCTATGCTCTGCGACAAGAGCTGTGCTGACAGGATGTAGGCTACGCGCGCGCGCGTGTGTGTGTGTGTGCGCGCGATGCACTCAGTAATGGAATGTCACCTTGAGCCAAGTGTGCGAAAACCTCAAGCATGCTCATTGGAGACATAGGCTATCCGTCTGTACGACTCCCCGGATCCTGCATTTTAATGACGGATGCGCTCTGTTTATCACGGCTCAAACACCGAAAACCCAGCTGGACATCCAGCAGCTATTTTGTCATACAAATATTTAGGGAAATGTACGAGCCAAGAAGGCTGCTTTTAAGTCGGGCTTGTTGAATTAGCCTGTGAACCCCCCTTTTTTTCCCGACATGCCCCATTCGCTAAATTGCATTTGGGTCAGAAAATCAGTAGGTTTTTTGCTCTCTGCTGGGCTGCTTGCTTTCAGCACCACAAGCAGTGGACAGCTCCCGTCTCATTTGGAATCGGCTGGCACGTTTTGAGCGCTACCTTCAAACGCTCAC